CCCTGGGCTCAAGTGATCCTTTTGCCTCAGCATCTCTGAGTAGCCCAGATTATAGGTGTGTGCCACCACGTCCAGCTAGTTTTTTATTCTTTTCTTTTTTTTTTTTTTTTTCAGGGGAGGTGGGTCTCACTCTTGCTCAGATTGGTCTCAAGCTCCATGATCCACCAGCCTTGGCCTCCCTGAGTGCCAGGATTATAGGCATGAGCAACAGGGTGCCCCGCCTGAACCAAAGAAATTGTTACCTGCGCAATTGACATGTAAACAAAGATCTCTCACCAGGTATTTCAGAAATGAGCCTAGAAACAAGCCAGAACTGCCACTGGATTTGCAGATCCTTTGCCTTTGTGAAGGGAGTCCTTGATGCCCAGTAAAATCTTAGGAGAAGCTGTTTTTTTGAAAGACGATTTGGTTTAATGAAGGAGAGACAGCCATGCATGGTGGATAGGGAGGTAACTCCTTTGGACTTTCATGTATTTCATACAGAGCCTTTTCCATTCATATGTACTGTCTGGACAGCCAAGATGGGTTAGGATGGAACCTGTTGTAGATTCTGTTGTGTTTACAAGGCACCCTTATTATTATTATTATTTTTGATTCCTATTTGTGCCCTGTCCCTGTCTGGCTCCACAAAGCATGGTGTGGCTCTGTCGCTCCGTGCTAAAGTGCTGGGTTGGAACCAGCCTGACATTTGCCTGTTTACTGCTTCCCTACACATTACAGCTTCCTTACTTCAAATAGTGTTTAAATAGACCCCAAACATGTTTTTGGCTGTTATCCAGAGTTTGGCTTCCGCTTCCCAGTAATGCCATAAAATGCTCTGTCAAATAAATTCTCAGAAACTGAAAAGAACAAATTCCCTGCTCCATATGATTGTAGATAATGGAAGCAGGCTTCAGCTGACCACCTGGCCTGGTGCCCACGGCTTAGGCAAGACCAAATTGCAGGCATCCCTTGGCAGTGCTTTTTAGCGATCAGAGTTAATTTTCTGCATGTGATGGATGAGCTTTCCATTTAAGGAAATTTGCACATAGCACTGGGGCTTTGGATTCCATAAAATATTATCTTTACTTATCTTGCTTGGTTACCAATCAGTGTATTGTGTATTATATGTTTTTGAGCTCTAGGATCAGTTTCCTATTGAGAAAACTTCTTTTTTTTTTTTTTTTTTTTTTTTTGAGACAGAGCCTCAAGCTGTCCCCCTGGGTAGAGTGCCATGGCATTACAGCTCACAGCAACCTCCAACTCCTGGGCTCAAGCGAGTCTCCTGCCTCCGCCTCCCAAGTAGCTGGGACCACAGGCGCCCGCCACAACGCCCGGCTATTTTTTGGTTGCAGCCGTCATTGTTGTTTGGCGGGTCCGGGCTGGGGATTTGAACCCGCCACCTTAGGTGTACGTGGCTGGCGCCTTAGCTGGTTGAGCTATAGGCGCCGAGCCGAGAAAACTTCTAATGTTAACCATGGAAAGAATCTTTCTTTGATTTGGGGTGTGTGTGTGTGCGTGTGTATGTCTCTGTGTGTGTCTGTGTCTGTGTCTGTGTGTTGAGAGTAGTGTTTCCCTTTCCCATGCTTTTCAGGGTCCCAACTGGAAAAGAGATGGCAAATTAAGGTAATTTAGGGAGGTTTATGTATAAAGGGACAATTTTAAAAGGTGTGAATGTATAGGGAAATGCACAGGACAGTGTAGTAACCCAGTGGATCTATTACTATCCCTAGACCAGAAGGGAGGAAAGGAAGGGTGGTTATCAGAACCTAGAAGGAGAGGCCGGTAGAGAAGCTGCCTGCAGAGTGACTTGTAGTAGAGACACATGTAGCCAGGCTGAAGCAATCCGGGAGCCCAAGGTTACTCACTCTCTCCCCTCCCTCTCATCTACTGCCAGGGCTCTCCATTGGCTGAGTGCAGAAAGAAACCAGCAGGCACAAGAGTCCTTTGATTTGGTCCTCAGAAGTCAGCCTCCCCAGGGTGCAGACAGGACTAAGAAGACAAGTGGATTAGGAGGGCAAAGGGAAGGGCATCCAGCACACATCCCAATGTAGATGCCCAGTTATTTCTAAGAGAAGCCTTAATGGTCTCAATAAAAAGCGTAAACTCATTTATTTATTTATTTATTTATCTATCTTTTACTCTCTCCCTGGGGAGAGTGCAGTGGAGTCATAGCTCACAGCAACGTCAAACTCTTCAGCTCAATCTAGCTTCAGCTTCCCAAGTAGTTGGGACTATAGGCGCCCACGACTATAGCAGGCTAGTTTTTAATTTTTAGTAGAAATAGGGTCTTGCTCTTGGTCAGGCTGGTCTCAACCTCCTGAGCTCAAGCAGTCCGTCCACCTTGGCCTCCCAGAGTGCTAGGATTACAGGTGTGAGCCACTGCACCAGCCTAACTTTTATTTTGAAACAGTTTTACTGAGACATGATGGACATATAATAAACTGCACAAACTTACATAAACAATTTGATAAGCTTTGATAGGTATATACCCATGAAATCATCACCAAATCAAGGCAGTGAACTTACCCATCATCCTCCAAATAGTCCCCTTTAACTTAGCATTTAAGATATTCCATATAGTTCTTTTAGGAGGGCATGGAACGGTATCATGAAGTCAAGCAACAGCAGGTGCTTCCTACCTTACTACAGTTATTGAAGTTGGTGAGTTGCTGAAGTTACTGCCTGAGGTTACAATGCTCACAAGTAATAGAGCCAGACTGGGACTTGATTCCCTGAGCTTTATGCTATTCTCCTTTAAATTATAAGGCAAATCACTGGCAAACACGTTTATTACAACTTATTACTAACAAATTGCTTGCTGCCCACCTTGTAGCCAATGGAGGCACTAGTCATAGCCTGGGTTGAGAACTGGTACTCTCATCTTCCATGCCTGCAGAGCCTGTTTATTCTGGGGAACTCAGGAGCTCCCCTAGCTGGAGAAGGCTGGTCCCTGGTGCACTTCATACAAAGAAGGGTGTCTTCCTGGTTAAATGAGAGGAGGAGAGGGAAGGGAAAGGGAGGGATCCTGGGAGGAGAGGGAAGAGAAAGGGAGGGGAGGGGAAAAACCCCTGGGGATGCTCTATCATGTTACGGCAGGGGGTGCAGTGGCTCCCATCAGCACAAGAGCTCTGGCAAGGGCCACGCTGGCATCTGTGCTGGCCTTTTGAACTCCCAGGCAAGTTCAGGCCTCAAGGCCTTTGTTTTGCTTCATTCCTTAGGCCTGGATTACACATACCCCAGACTTGTGCAAGGGTCACTTCCTCATTTTATTCTGGTGACTGCTCAAATATCCCCTCCTCAGAGAAGCATTTTTTGCCACTCCATCTCAAGTGTCACTTCTGTCACTCTCTCCCTACTTTATTTTTCCTAATCGCAGTGACCACTATAGGGATATTAGAGCATCAGTTCTCATGCCTTTTAGTTTTGGGACCTCTGCACTAGCTTAAAAATTACTGAGGACCTTGAAAAGCATACATTTATGTGGGTTATACCATACAAAATTTTATCATGTCAGAAATGAAGTCAGAAATGATAAAATTTTATTCCGTGAAAAAAGGTAATAAACCCATGATGATTAACATAAATAACTTATGAAAAAATAGCTGCATTTCCCAAAACAAAATATTTAAGTGAGAAGAGTGACATTCATTGACATTTCTGCACATCTTTTCTGCTCCTAGGAGCTAGCCAGCTTGTCCCATCTGCTTCTGCGTTCATTTTAAGATCTATTATTGTGGAAAATCTTGATGAAGAAAATCTGGCCTCACACAGATATGTAGCTGGAAAAGAAGGATAGTTTAATAAATAGTCTTTTAGTATAATGGTGGCTATTCTATTTAATATTATACCAGACTCAACAAATGGTCATTTTTTAAAGGTTAGTTGTTGTTCAGACTTTGTACCCTGGGCGTAGCCATGTAAGCCATTCCCAAGCAATGAGATGGTTGCTTTTTAAAGGAAAAGTTGATCATTGTCTTTTGAGATTATTGTTTATATAAAGTGGGATAAGAAATGTACGTTGTCCGTTTCATTATACTGTTAAATAACTCTTTTAAAACATCATCTTGTCGGCTCGGCGCCTATAGCTCAACCGGCTAAGGCGCCAGCCACGTACACCTAAGGTGGCGGGTTCGAATCCCCAGCCCGGACCCGCCAAACAACAATGACGGCTGCAACCAAAAAATAGCCGGGCGTTGTGGCGGGTGCCTGTGGTCCCAGCTACTTGGGAGGCGGAGGCAGGAGACTCGCTTGAGCCCAGGAGTTGGAGGTTGCTGTGAGTGTGATGCCACGGCACTCTACCCAGGGGGACAGCTTGAGTCTGTCTCAAAAAAAAAAAAAAAAAAAACATCATCTTGTCTTGGAAGATTACAGAAGCTCCTTCTAATCAAAAAACAACTTTTTTTTTTTTTTTTTAAGAGACAGAGTCTGACTTAATCGCCCTCGGTAGAGTGCAGTGCTGTCACAGCTCACAGCACCCTCCAACTACTGGGTTTAGGCAATTCTCTTGCCTCAGCCTCCCAAGTAGCTGGGACTACAGGCGCCCACCACAACGTCCGGCTATTTTTTGTTGCAGTTTGGCCAGGGCCGGGTTCGAACCTGCTAGCCTCTTTATATGGGGCCAGCGCCTACCCACTGAGCAACAGATGCTACCTACAAGCACCAACTTCTTGTTGGAATCAGAGCACTTTTTTCCTTGATAGATCCACGCCTCATGTTATTGCTACATTTCTTGAGATAGGAAGTGAAAAGTTAATGGTTTCTAACATTGTGCTTTGAGGAATATTTGAGGAATAATGTTTGTTGGAATGCTTTTATTCATCTTTTCAAATCCCATTTATGTCCATTACCTTATTTGAATGAAAGGATTCTGCCTTTTAGAAATATTCTTAAGCCAGTACAGGAATAGAGTTAAGCATCCTAGTCCATAGATGTGTCCAGTAAATTAGGCAGCCACTTTATCTGCATGTTCACAGTGTTACGATGTCATTAATCTATAATTTTATATTTGTCTCTTTAAGATCCGTATGGGTTTGCAGCACCAGATAATCTGGCCCTGTCAGCCCAGCTGTGTTCCTCTGGATGAAAAACTCCTTCCCCAGCTGTTAAAAGAAGCAGGCTATACTACCCATATGGTAGGAAAATGGCACCTGGGAATGTACCGGAAAGAATGCCTTCCAACACGCCGAGGATTTGATACCTACTTTGGTAATGGAAATGCACATTTCTTTAACAACTCAGACTCGCTGTGGCCATCTTGTAAAACACACCCAGTGCAATCAAATGAAATAATTGGAAACTTGAACACAGAGTGAATCAGCTGGCACCACAGTGGGGCCACTTGCTAATGTTACCTCCATAAACATGTCTCTGTGCTCAGCTCGTGGTGGGCATGGGCCCACAGCAAGGCAATTACCTCTGCCTGAGTACTAAATGCCTCCTTGGGGCCCTGGAAGAGTTTACTACCGCCACATCAGAGACCACTGTACTCCAGGACCCTTAGTACCAAAAGGGGATATGGATTGATTTTTTTTTTTAATTCCAGCAAAACCTACTATAACCTTTCCTTCACAAAGGGTTAGTTTTTTCTCCTTGTGGACTATATTCAAAGGGTTCCCCCTCCCCCCCCCCAACCCTGGAGCAAGGGAGAGACTCTTATTATTGGTTTCCCTTTCCCATCTGTGAGAAGTCTGTTTTTGAAATCACTAGGTTGAGGAAGATAGATTTAAAGAAATAAAAAGGGCCAGGCTGGGGACCTCATTTCTACAAAATAATACAAAAATTATCTGGGCATGGCAGCATACATGTTGTGGTCCCAGCTACTCAGGAGGCTGAGGCAGGAGGATCACTTGAGCCCAGAAGTTTGAGGTTATAGTGATCTACAATCATGCTGCTGTATTCCAGCCTGGGTGACAGAAATGAAAAATAAAATAAAATAAAATGAGGAAGGCACATGACAAATAGCAATAGGAAGGATAGTAAGATACAATAAGAAGTATTTTATACACTTGATAACCTTCTAAAACAGTGGTTCTCAACCTTTTTTTTAAAATTAAATCATAGCTGTGTACATTAATGCAGTCATGGGGTACAGTGTGCTGGTTTTATATACAATTTAAAATATTTTCATCAAACTGGTTACCATAAGCCTTCATGGCATTTTCTTAGTTATTGTGTTAAGACATTTATATTCTACATTTAGAAAGTTTCACATGTACCCTTGTAAGATGCACCATAGGGTTCTCAACCTTCTTAATGCTGCCATGTATTTTCATTGTTAAAAAGGGGTTGTGACCCACAGGTTGAAAACCGCTGCTCTAAAATAAATGTGAAACCTAGAGTTTGTGCCCTCTTTAAACCCTCTTACAAACCATGCCTTAATTAATAACCTGTTTATCTTGCCAGTAGCTGTATATCTTTCTGTCAAGTTCTCTTTAAATGGAGCTATCTTTCTATCTAGCTATTTAGCTACTTACCTGCCTCCCATCTGTTTCTTCATTTATTTACAACCTGCTATAGCACAAAAGGAACGCATATTGAACATAAAAGTTTAAATAGAATAAAATTTCAGGGTAAGTAGAAAAAGGTGGAATAGTTTAACGGCACCATATTATATAAAAAGAAATACATGACTGTAAGCAGGCTTCACATTTAACTCTAAGATTTGAAATCTTTTATGTCTAAACCAAAAAAAAAAAAAAGAAAAGAAGAAGAAGAAGAAAAGGAAAAGGTTATTAGAATTACATTATTTACAAGATAAATTGAAACCAGATGTTCAGGAAGAGTAAAGCAATTTTTGGCTCTCAGGCCTGAAAGAAATATCTCCTTTGGGAGAAGGGAAGGTGGACAACATCCTTAAAAATATCACTTTAATAATAAAGTGGTGGGTTTTTTTGTAGGTGTTTCTTGGGATATTCTCTTCCATTCAAGCTCGGGCCAAAGCACCAAAGTACAATTCACTAAAAGTCATTCTATGGGGGCCAAAACAAAGTAGTTGACACACATGTGACACACATGTCTCTGAAATGCCTTGTTGGACCTAGGGTTAAAATGCAGATGCAAGGACTTCAGACAGGAGGGAAGGTGTGCTCTACTCCCATCCAGGTCTTAATCGTAGCATTTTTTTTTCTTGATGAACCTGGATATGTTCTCAGTTTCCACAAATAGCTGTTAAAACTCCAACTTGGGTATTTGTGATCTTAGAAATTCTAAAGGCACAAACAACCTCTATATCCTTTGAAACTTTTCAGTCAGGCCTTTGCTTAAAGATGCATGAATATCTACAGTGGCAAGTGGATGGATTGTAGATATTTTTAACTTTTTATTAAAACCAAGTTATGGGCTCGGCGCCTGTAGCTCAGCAGCTAGGGCACCAGCCACATATACCAGAGCTGGTGGATTTGAATCCAGCCGGGCCTGCCAAACAACAATGACAACGATGACCCCCCAAAATAGCCAGGCATAGTGGCAGCTACTTGGGAGCCTGAGGCAAGACAATCTCTTCAGCCCAAGAATTTGAGGTTGCTGTGAGCTATGATGCCTCAGTACTCTACCCAGGGAAACAGCTTGAGACTCTGTCTCAAAAAAAACCCAAATAAGTTATATACTTTGAAATTTAGTTGTATAGAAGGTATAAATGATCTTCTTTTGTGGGAATTTAGAAGTCCAACCTGGACTTAGATGAACAAACACCTCATATTCATATAAATGGAGACTTGCAGCCAAGAAGGTTCTGATGACCAGGCCACTGTTATCACTACTGTGACTCAGATGTTTTGTTAAAAAGCAATCCAGTGATCATGGGGTGCTTGCACAAGCCTTTGAAAAATACACTAGAACCAATGAATTGTACACTTTCAGTGGACACTTTGTGTGGTATATGAATTAGGTTTCAATACAATTGTTAATAAAGTGGTCAGAGAGTGAGTTGTCCAAGGAATATTTTCTGGACTATTCTACTTAGTAAAGTATTACAAGAATGGAAAAGCAAGTATCCAGTGTACTCAATACTAATGTGAAACTAGTAGATGAAAAATACATGCTCACACAAGAGAAAACACCGTTGAACTCCAGTGGGGAGGAGGGGGAGGAGGTGGGAGAGGAGGGGGCAGGCAGGGGAATTGTGTGCTTTCACCCAGCAGGCACAGTGGAAGGCACTCCTCCTGGGTGAGGGGCACAACTACGACTTGGACTCCCCAACAAACTAACAGTGTAACCTAATTGTACCCTCATGTTAATCTAAAGTTAAAAGAAAAAAAAAGAATTATTTTTTAAGTTTCCCTCCCAAAACATAGGCTGCTTTAGGTTCAGTATCAAAGTTCAAATTTGTGAAATCACTGTCACAATGAAAAGCTCTGCATGATTGTGACGTGGTTGCTTCGTATCAGTTTGGCCAAGTATGTGAATAATAGTTTTATTTCTGGAATTCTGCTATTTGTAATATATTTTGAATATTTACGGTTTGTACGTTTTCTAAGCAAGCATATCCTATGTATATATTCTCTCAGCCGACAGAAAACAGCTGTCAGTTACAGATAAAGAACCTGAAGTGGTTTTCCTCAAGCTCTAACACCCAGAATAGGACCCCAAACCCAAAATAGGACCCCAGTGCCCTGACTGCTCTCATCACTCATATCAGGGCTGAAATTATTTTTAAGGATACATTACTTTCTCTGTTACACACTATTGTAATTAACAAAAACTTTGGGTTTCCCTTCCTGTTATATTATTCAGGAGAAAAAATTACCACATAAAAAGTTATCTTAAGACTAAGGTATGGGGTGGCACCTGTGGCTCAAAGGAGTGGGGCACTGGCCCCATATGCTGGAGGTGGTGGGTTCAAACCCAGGCCTGGCCAAAAACTGCAAATAAATGAATAAAATAAAAGATCTTTTCTTTTAAAAAAAAAGACTAAGGTATGAATTGAATTTAAGAGCTTGAATTTATTGGATTGTGGAAAAGGAGGATTTAATTAAAAATGAATTGATTTACATAAGCTATGTAAGGTCATTATAGGGAAAGTTCAAGACTGGGAAAGGGCCAGGCCAATTTTATCATCTCTGTGGTAAGGTTAATAAGCACTGTTTGGAGACAGCTGAGAGTACAGCAAAGCGAATTTCTTTCTAATAGCTTTATCAAGGTGCCATTCACATGCCATACAATTCGCCCAATTAAAACATACAGTTCAATGGTTTTTAATAAATTATAGGGTTGTGCCACTATCATCACAATCTAATTGTAGAACATTTTCATCACCCCTAAAAAGAAACCCATCTCCATTAGTGATCACTCCTCATTGTTCCCCAACCCCTGCAGCCCTCGGCGAGCCCTCATCTACTTTCTGTCTCTATGGATTTGCCTATTCTGTTTAATATAAATGGAATCATAAGCAGCACAGATTATTTTCAGAAACAACCATCAGTTGAGAAAACTCATTTTCTTCCATGTTCATGTCTAAAATATGGGATGGGCAGTTGATGCCGCTTAAATTTGGGGTGAAATTATAATCGTTATAGATAGAAAAGTCTTATTTCAGCACTGTACTTTCGTTTGATCTTTTGTCTTTGTGGTTTCTTGAGATCTTCTATTTGGAAAGGTTTGTGTCTTTCACCAGTGGGTGTCAGCATCTGACTAAAGATGACTCCTCCTAGAACTGCTTCTACGAATAACCTTGAAGTCAGTCTCCCAAAGACAGTGACAACAAACATTTGAATTCTGCACTCATTTTTATGTGATCACCTTAGAGTAAAAACTTGTAACAAGTCACATTAACCATATATTATTTTTATCATTATGTACTACATTGTTTTAAAAGATCAAGATATTATCACCTTTACTGAATTTGAACGCTGATATTTTTTAAACATATTTACCTGGAATTACTCAAGATAGAACCTGTGTTCTAAAGACTCAAGTGAGGAATGGATTCACATTTTTATGTGATAATATTTAATACCTTCTGCTACCAAATATAGAGACATTAAGAAATGGTGCTTTGATTAGCCTTGTCATTTGATTAGCCTCGTCACGGGCAATCAATTGCATTAGGCAATTAAATACTGAAACATTAGTTTAACAAGTTTTACGTTATGCTGACTGTTTTCATCTTCCATTCTTGTTGTAGGATATCTCCTAGGTAGTGAAGATTACTATTCCCATGAGCGCTGTACATTAATCAATGCTCTGAATGTCACACGATGTGCTCTTGATTTTAGAGATGGCGAAGAAGTTGCAACAGGATATAAAAATATGTATTCTACAAACATATTTACCGAAAGGGCTACAGCTCTCATAACTAACCATCCACCCGAGAAGGTAAGTCTCACTTCTTTACTGATGTCAAAATCTCGTCAAGGTGGCTCAGCGCTCGTGGTATAGTGGTTACAGCACCAGCCACATACACTGAGGGTGGCGGGTTCCAACCCAGCCTGGGCCAGCTAAACAACTGCAGTCAAAAAATAGCCGGGCATTGTGGCGGGCGCCTGTAGTCCCAACTACTTGGGAGGCTGAGGCAAGAGAATCACTTAAGCCCAGGAGTTGCAGGTTGCTGTGAGCTGCGATGCCACTGCACTCTGCCAAGGGAGACGAAGTGAGACTCTGTCTCAGAAAGAATAAAAAAATCTCATCAAGGTAACATCACTTCAGGTGAATGGAGGAAAAAGCCACTGTTGTTTAGGGAAAAATCAAACAAATTCTAGGAAAGTTGTTTTTAAATTTTACAGTACATCAGAATCAGCCTGAGAAGCATGTTAAAAATGAAAAATCCTGGAGCCCACCTGTAACCACATGATTTATTAGGTTTGGGGGAAATCATACATCAGCTTTCTAAAGAAACGTTTAAAAGGGGATTCTGATAAGCGTGGTCCCCAGATCACAGTTTAAGGAACAATGTGTATAGTGTTCCAATAGAAATACAGTTTTTAAATTTTGGTTATGTGTATGTACTGTGACTGTCTTTTTTTTTTTTCCTGAATGACTTTCTGATGTGTAAGATGAGGCTTTGTTATGGCACGCTTTCTGTTAAGGGATATGCAAATTTTGGGCACAGAGCAAGTCCTTTAACTTTGCATTCTACACCCCCACCCAAAGAATATTTGATTATTCTAGATCTTTTGCATTCTTATGTTAGTTTTGCAATGAGCTGGGCAATTTCTACTCCCCACTCCCCCCCAAAAGTGTGTGTTTGGATTTGGATTTCATTGAATCTGTAGACCAACGTAGAGAGAACAGATGTCTTAACAATGTTGAGTTTTCCAGTCTATAAACTGGTATACTGACGAGGCTGGATGTACCACCCTGAAACCATTGTGTATGCATGCGTCATGTGCTGAAATCTTTTGACATATCTATAGGTAACAATAGAAGAGAGTCTGAATGGTCTTTTGTCACTGTTCTGCCTAGAGAGCTTCTATTTGGATTTTCGTTGTTGTTAACCTAGAGTTAACCTTATGAACTAAAGTTTAAGCTAAATTCTCTGGATTTAGCTTATAAATGTTTTTGAAATTGGGTCAACTATTTGTGATGTCAGACACTGTCCTCAAAATATGGCTTTGTGAAGAACTGTATCAGCACACCCACAATATTAGTGCTTTAAGAGGACCTTGACACAGCAACTTACAGAATGTGCAGTGCTGTCTGGGTCTCTCAATTTTCTGCACTTTGCCTCATTGACAGTGCCTCAGGGCTCTTGGTACAGGTCTGTCTTAGTCTATTTGCATTGCTCTAAAGCAGCGGTTCTCAACCTGTGGGTCGTGACCCATGGGAACTGTATTAAAGAGCCACGGCATTAGGAAGGTTGAGAACCACTGAGTCTAAAGGAATACCTAAGGTTGGGTAATTTATGAAAGAAAAGAGGTTTGTTTGGCTCACAGTTCTGTAGTCTACCTGAGGAGCATACACCAGCATTTCCTTGTGGACAGGGCGTCATGGAGCTCCCACTTATGGCGGAAGGTGCAGGGGAGCTGGAGGTGCAGACCACGTGCTGAGAGAGGAGAGGGGTGCCAGGCTTTTTGCAACAAACAGCTCTCAGGAATGAACAGAGCAAGAACTCATTACCATGCGGACAGCACCACGCCATTTCATAAAGGATTCTTCCATGAGCCCCACTTCCAATATTGGGGATGAAATTTTGACGTGAGGGTTAGAAGGTCAGAGATCCAATGTATAGCAAGGCCATGGTGTGGATTCTGTTGACAGACCTGTTGGGATGTGGCCACTGACTGGTTTTGGTCTCTTCCTGCCACTCTTTGCCTCTCCTAACTCAGCATCGGGGATCTTTCCTGGTGTTTGTCCTCAGCTCTGTCCCACTTTAGCTTTTTAATCACCCTTACATGCCAGGATCTTGGAGCAACCTTGTTTTCTGTGGGACATGAAGGATTGGGAACATTCTTCCAAATACACAGACCTAAACAAATAGAAAGATAGCTGCTAGGTAATTGGCTTAAGTTCTCAGTTTTCTTCCATTTACTTGGCATTTCGTAGATGCAGCTTAGTACTTGAAGAACTAGGTAAAGTCTTAAGGGAACTGTGTATAACCCGTGGAGAGAGGCATCATTTTACACAGAAGCAAATGGGCTTAGAGAAGTTAAGTAGCTTGTTCTGGGTCACAGGTCTATTGAGAGTCAGGATCAGAATTTAAACTCACACTGTCGGACTCCAGACCTCCTGCAATTAATCAGCCTCCCTACTTCACAGCTAATATCCAAGACCAGGGAGATTCTGAGTCCCACCCAACTCATGACTCAACTTAGTGATTTCAGTCCTGACCGTATACCAGAATCATCTGGGAAACTTGTGGGAAATACTGATGCAGGTATTGTAATCCGTTGGTCCAAGGTCAACCCAGTCATTGGTGTTTCCTTACCTCCACCCCCACGCCTACCAGTGGTGCTGACGGGCAGCCACTATGGACACCCTGTGCAGTTGGGAGCCTTCCACATGGGCCCTTCAGGGCACTCTCCTTAAACACAGAGGGGCAGGCAGAAGCCAAATACCTTTTACAGCCTCACAGTCTAACAATTCTTTAATCAAGCAACAACAGTAACCTTCCCATAATAAAAACTCATTCCTACTAAGGAACAAAAGGGTATTCTCTCACAGGGCTTGGGTAACATTAAGCAAATAAGAGGAAGCAGCTGGTGTGAAATAGTTCTGTGAGTGGGCCTGGTGTGGTGGGAAAACACAGGAAGGGAGGACAGTGGGAGGCCCTAAGAGCTGGTGAGCCCAGAAGGAGTCTTGTTAGAGTAAAGCTGCTCACTGGTGACAGTGTGGAAGCTGCCAGATGGGAAGATGGTCATTTTCCTACAGTGTCTGAGACATTCCGTAGCAGTACCCACCATTTCCCCTATCCTCAAAGGAAAGTTTCAAGCATAGACATAAATGAATGAAACAACCAACAGTCAAGCGTAACCCAGGAATGTTGATTGAAGAAAGTCAAGGCAGGTGTTTACGTTTTCAGTACTCAGTAAAATGATGCATCTCCCCAGTGTGAGCTGTGCTTCTCATCATTCTACCCTAGTGTTCAATCCAAGGCTGTGCTAATTTCTCAGGTGATACATATAGATGGTAACAGAGACAACTTGTTCTAAGATGAAAATCACTAGAGAAATGCACAAGAAGCACCCGCAAGCTGACTTAAAAGTTTGCCTGTTTTAAAAAGGCTTGAAAGGAAGAAGCCCGTGGAAATAGTTTGTAACTGAAACATGGGTGTTGATGCTGGACGCAGGGCAACACTGCCAATAAGCATCTCAGCTCTGTTAAGAAGGCAGGTCCTTTCTCCTTTGCTGCGGGGTAATTCTCCACAGCAAGAACGCTGCAGAGTGGAAGTAACATACTCATCGAGTATCTTCCTGTTAAAAATAGTCCCTCTACAGCATTTCACAGAATAAAAACGAATGTGATCTCACATGCCTCATCTCTTAGAAGCTTCCAAAAGAAAATGTTAATCTCTAGTGGTAGACTCTTTTTCCTGGAATAATTTAGGAAAAAATGTCTTAATTTGGAAGTCAAAGATAGAAAATATAATTTCAAGACTGTCTATATGCTTTTTCTTCATGTATGCTTTAAATTAGGAAAATATAGTAAAGAAATGAAAAATAAGGCTTTCTTCCTACTGCAGTAAGGTTTCTTAGCACAGTGTGGATATTTAGAGCATGTATTTAGGAGCCATATGGCATACTAAGACAGGAAAGAACCCTAAGAATCTTAACCGTGAATATGCTAATAGCACTGGGTAATAAAGTCTTGCTTTTTATGTAATACATATATTTAGTCATGATTTCACATCTAGGATTCCATTTTATTTTCTTAAAACAACTGAAAGTATTAAAGTTAGGATTGATATAAGGCCGTGACTGGGCTGATAAGAACGGGGATCTGGACCCAAGAAAAAGCTAGGGAGAGATCAGGCTCTAGCCTAAATCCAGAGACTGGTGGTGATGGACACAGGGCCCAGGACTCCAGTGTTGGAATCAGGATGTCAGTAAGGCTGGAGTGGACCGGTAAGCCAGGGCATGACAGGGCTGGAACTCAAGTCAGCAGACCTCTAGTAGAAATGAGCCCAGTCCCAGGATGGCAGCTGCTTTGCTTTAGGCCCATGGTCTGGTTGGCAGGAGTGGGGAATTGGCAGGAGTGGAGAATTGGCCACAGCTGCTCATAGGCATGGGCCTAGGACTAGTCGCTGCAGGTAGGGTCTTCACTGTGGTTGGAGAACTGTGGAGCCCTAGTTAATAGAAGAACTCTGCTCCACCACCCTCCCTGGCCAGGCCATTAGGAATCAGTTGCTGGCTGGGAATCACCTGCCCTCCCTCTCATTTCTCTCCTTCACCATGTGGGTTGCCGTGTTGTTACTAATGACCTGGCAGAGGACATATTCTCCTTTACCCGTGGTTCCTTCTCTCATTCCTCCCGTCTGCCCACTGTTGAGAGCCACAAACTCTCATGTTTGCTGGGGTCAGACTGCTACCCTGAGCATTCTAGTAAATTGGATAGCGCTTGGGGGTGGAGCCCCTGTTTTCAAGAAAATGTGTGTAAAAACAGCTTTCTTTGTGGTATTTCCTGATTTTTTAAACTTTATGTGGGCTGCAAATCATTGTAGCCTTCCAATTTTTAATCCCATCCCCATCCGGGCTTTGGCTGGTGGCTGGAGTTAGTTTGGTCTATTGCCGAAGACTCCCACGGCTAGTCCTGGTGTATACGCTGCACTGTAGGGTCAGATGCCCTGCACAGCCCTCCCTGCAGACATCCCAGCCAGGTTTCTCCTCAGCACCTAGGCGGGGTGTCTGCTGGGATGCCCTTCACCACGGGCTGCAAGAACACAGAAGTGTTCCTGTCTGACTTGTGCAGCTGGAGTGTGAGTGTGTGTGTTGAGGGGGACGGGAGGCAGAACTAGTAGTGTTACCAGTTTTAGTATCTAGGTGTGTCCAAGCCTGCTGATTTTGTGAGGACTTTTTTGGCTTATCTGTGGGGTCGGATATCCCTTTTCCTCATCAGCTTCCCTTAGCATAGTGTTTATTGCCAAGACAACTCTTATTCTTCCAATGTGCAATGGAGAAAAAAGAAGTTGGACACCCCTGGAGAGACCTTTGGAGTAGGAATCTGGGATGTTTTCCCATGGAAATATTGTACAAGTGAAGCACAACTCCTATGTTATCATTGCTTGCATTCCATCGCCTACCTCCTTGGTTAAATAGGTTTGAAAGCGGTGACTTCATATTTAGCAATTATTTTTAACTTTTTGATTTGGGGAAAAACATATTTCTAAATTCCTAAGATCTAAACTACAAATAAATTTTTGGTCATCTAGTTGAGTACTACACATAGACGGTCCTTATTCTATCACAGGGAAGTATAATAATAATTTAAAAGAACTTATAAACAATGAAGAATAAAATAAGAGGCCTCCCTCCAACTCTGCTTTCTAACTTTTTCCCATTCATTTATGAGATTTAAATGCCTCAAATACTTTAACAGAATTATGTGTTTATTGTTGGGTTGGACCAGTTGTTTCTTTGAGGGCTTTCAACTCATTAAAAAACTCTGTAGGAGCACAATGAAGAGGAATCCTTCAGAAATGCTCATTAAAAAGGAGAGGCTGACCTGGAATATGTTAAATGCTGTGAATTGATGTAAGAGGTGAAATGTATTGCACCTCTTTGTTTCCAGGAATTCAAGTGGTCCTATATCAAAGACTAACAAGGCATAGTGGGTGTACACTTGTTTTCTCATAAAATATATCAAAAAACACTCTGGGAGGCCAAGGTGGGTAGATTGCCTGAGCTCAAGAGTTTGTGACCAGATTGAACAGGAGTGAGACCCATCTCTAAAAATAGCCAGGCATTGCAGTGGTGCCTGTAGTCCCAGCTACTTGGGAAGCTGAGGCAAGAGAGTTGCTTGAGCCCAAGAATTTGAGGTTGCTGTGTTTTGTCTCAAAAAATCCCCCCATATATACATATATGTACATATATATGTGTACCAAAAAATTCTGAACATTTCCTGAAAGTTGGGCACTTATTTTCAGCTAAAGCAAAAAGTGAAAGCATCTAATATCTACATTATAATAATGAGTTTTCTAATAAGAAATTGCTCTTCAATTAATGTAGTCTTATTCATATAATAAAAACTTGCTGAGTCTCAGTTAACTCATCTGTAAAATGGATGTAAGATATGGTGGTTTGGGTGTTAAATGAGATGGAATATGTAGATTATTGTCATCTAGTCCACAGATGACATTTGATATATGGTTGCTGTTATTGATATTATTTGTTTGAATCAAGACTGTCTGTGCCATTCTAGGACTTTTGGTGTTTGTTTTTTTCTTTTGGTCTTGTGTTTTTTCTTATATTTTTAACACTTTTATTGAGACACAATTTATATACCATAAAATTCACCTATTTAAAGTATACAGTTCAATAGTAAATTCATAGTTGTGTAACCATCACCACAGTCTAGGTTTAAAACATTATCATCACCCTCAAGCAAACCGTGGACCTGTTAGTAGTCACTTACCATTCCTCTCCCCCACTATTTCCTGTAGCCCCAGGATACCACTTTCTGTCTTTATAGATTTGCCTATTCTGGACATTTCATATAAATGAAATTATACAGGGTGACCATAAAGTTTGTGTACAGTTTAAATAGTTATAAACTTCATGCCCACCCTGTGTGATATGTGGTCTTAGATGACAAAGTCGTTTCATTTAGCATAATGTTCAAGGTTTATCTATGTTGTACTAGGTATCAATACTTTATATTCCTGCTATTGCCAAATGTTGCTGAAAATATACTGTATTTTGTTTATCCATTTGTCAGTTGGAAATTTGGGTTGTTCCCACTTTCTGGCTATTACGAATAATATTGCAGTGAACATTCTTACAAGTTTTCACGTGGACATAAAGAAATGGTGGGTGATGTGGTAATCAGGAATTGCCGAACTCTTTTTTCAAAGTAGCTATATACGCTATTTTACTACTAGCAATGAGTGAGAGTTCCAGTTCTTCCATATCCTCACTGCACTTGTATCTTCCATTTATTTAATTTTAAACATCCTAGCAGATGTGAAGTGTTAGCTCCCTGTGTTTTCATTTGCATTTCCACATCAATTAATGATGTTGATCATCTTTTCATGTGTGTATGGACATTTGTATATCTTTTCTGAGGAAATATCTATTTAAATTATTTGTCCATTTTATAGGGAGGTTATTTTGTCTTTTATTATTGAGTTATAAGAGTTCTTTCTATTCTCTTGATATGGGTCCCTTTTTACACATATGATTCGCAAATACTTTCAATGCATTCTGTAGGCTATTTCAGTTATTTTCATTAACTGATGAATCTGGACTTCCTTATCCTTCTATGTTAATGTTTAATGCCTTCCTAACTGATTTCAACAAACTCTCTTTCCAGCCTCTGTTTCTCTACCTCGCTCTCCAGTCTGTCCACGAGCCCCTTCAGGTCCCCGAGGAATATCTGAAGCCGTACGACTTCATCCAAGACAAGAACAGGCATCACTATGCAGGAATGGTGTCCCTTATGGATGAAGCCATAGGAAATGTCACTGCAGCCTTAAAAAGCAGCGGGCTCTGGAACAACACGGTGTTCATCTTCTCCACAGGTAAGTCTGTCAATAGAAGAATCATCTCTCAGCAAAGCCTAGGACGGGTGCTCAATAAATGGAATCAAGACAAACTGGAATGATTAGCATTTCTTTTATGCTGAGCACAGTAGTGGAGACGTGGTAACAATGCATAGAAAGATGTGTCTAATGAAAAAAGATTATGGACTTTCCCCCTCTTCCTTCAGATATCAAAATATTCTGGGAGTGCTCTTGAACCAAACATGCGCTAACCAAGTGAATGCGAGTGGACATCACTCATATGTGGGCTGCTGGGTGGGAAATCCCTGGAGTGGCTTGTTCTCAGCTCTCTCGACTGCCCAGGCCTCTTCCACAGCTCCACTTCTGCTGGCTAGGGGGGTCTTTGTGTCAGTGCACATAGATAGCCTGTGATATTAGGAAGACAGTTAAGAAATAGAGCCATTTAAGTCTAGGCTAGAGTCTCCAAGTTTGGATTTTTTTAATTGAAATTGTTTTTTGACAGCAAAAGTCATATATATTGATGACAGAAAAATCAGAAGTGAAGGGAAAAAGAAAACTCATAATCTCAGTACCAGAGATAACTTTTGAAAATCATTTTTGTTCCGGCAATGCCGCCCTGCTTCCTAATTGTTGTGTGTGATTCTTTTCCCTTTCATTGGACACGATTTTCTAACATTACTCCATGAAGTACTTTCACCCTAGAGCTTTGTTTCTTCATTGTGGAGAGTATTTAGAGAGCACTTTCAATCTGGAAACTCAGATCCCTGGCTATGGGACATCCCTTATATTATTTATTTTGGAATTGTTCAGACCTCCATCCCACCTTTCTATTTCTTTCTCTACAGAACTCCTGTTATTTGCATATTAGATCAGTCCTCTGATTTTCTTAGTTTTTTGCCCTCTCCTAATTTCTTTATCTTCCTTCTGCCATTTGGGAAATTTCCTTATCATTGTTTTGTAAATTTTCTATTGAATGTATTTCAAGTACCGCATTTTCATTACCAAGAACTCTGTTTTGTTTTCTGATAAGTCCCTTTCTATGATGAAATTATTACATCTATTCTATAAATATAATAATTTGTTTTCTCCAAAGCCTGTGCTCCTAACTATTAATTTTATATGTGTGTGTAGACATATACACATGTATGTATGTCTGTACATATTTTTTTTAAATATGCTTATATTCTCAACATTGTCACTCTTCCCTTTAAGTTCTTTTGTCTGTATCTTTGTTTTAGTCTGCCTTTCATGAAGCTAGCTTTCTCAAATCCATGGTGATCCGTGGCTAAAATCTAAAAATTTGATTGGAAACTCGCAAGTGTGAGGTCGGGGCTTTTTACCTGGTAAGTTTTACTGTAAAATGACTGTGTAGGGGTGATATGACATGCTGAAGAATTGATCTTGGTATTCTACTCAGTTTTTTGGTTTTTTTTTTTTTTGAGACAGAGCCTCAAGCTGTCCCCCTGGGTAGAATGCTGTGGCATTACAGCTCACAGCAACCTCCAACTCCTGGGCTCAAGCGAGTCTCTTGCCTCCGCCTCCCAAGTAGCTGGGACCACAGGCGCCCGCCACAACGCCCGGCTATTTTTTGATTGCAGCCGTCATTATTGTTTGGCGGGTCCGGGCTGGGGATTCGAACCCGCCACCTTAGGTGTACGTGGCTGGCGCCTTAGCCGGTTGAGCTATAGGCGCCGAGCCTTGGTTTTGTTTTTTTAAGAGTTGCTTTTGTTTTGCTTTTTTAAAAGCATGGCTATTAAATTAGCATTTATTGAGCACCTCCTGTGTTCAGGACACAGTTCTAAGGGCTTTACATGAATTAGTTCAATTAATCCTCACAATAAATAATTCTCTGAGGACTGTTACTATCTTATCTTGCAGATATGAGAAATGAAGTACAAAGAGGTTGAGTATCTTGCCCACGGTCACATAGCCAGGCAGAGGCAGGCTTCCCCACAATATCCTGCCTCTGAGATGATCTCGATTTCCTGATGTTCTTTTTTATTTTTGAGACAGAGTTTCATGTTGTCCTCGGTAGAGTGCGGTGGCATCACAGCTCACAGCAACCTCAAACTCTTGGGCTTAAGCAATTCTCTTGCCTCAGCCTCCCAAGTAGCTGGGACTACAGGGACCCACCACAATGTCTGGCTAATTTTTTGTTGTTGTTGTAGTTGTCATTGTTGTTTAGCAGGCCCAGGCTGAGTTTGAACTCCCCAGCCTGGGTGTATGTGGCCAGCACCCTACTCTTTGAGCCACGGGCACCGCCTGTCCTAATGTTCTTATTGGGTATCATGACATAGCAGAGCTTTCCCCATGGTGTCTGCTATATTGATCTACTAAGGGGACCTGGTAAGGTCCAGGGGATAGACAGTGTCTACCCCAGGCAGCCTTACTAAGTTACTGTAGTGCTGTCTAAACACTATGATTTTCTAAGTGTGCCTTGCTGAGAAAAAGATTTAGATATAAAATATAATGTGGTTTCTCCAAAACTTACCTTTCAGGTAAGAGGGAGAAATCTTATACTTTTGTGACAAGTTCACTCATATTACAGGAGTCCTTTTCAATTTATATAATTTTGAACAGCCTATTATAGCATTTTCATCAGTGCTGGGTTTGAATGCCTATAGAGGTCTCCAGAAAGAATTAATAAAAAAATGGGATGGGACATTTAACACTGATTTCATGATTATTCCTGGGAAATGACCTCAGAGTTGTAAGAATTAGAAGTCATAAATTTAGAAAATAAACCTTTGTTGTAGAGATCACAATTATAACATTTCATCACAAACAGTTTCTTGAAATGAAAGCATATATGGATTAGTATATCATAAGGGGCTAAGTAGTGCTCACACGGAATTGAAGATAGTAGGTAGCTCTGAAAGACTGCTTGAATATCTCAAAGTTGCTCTTAGGACAACAGCTATTGGTGTCAAGAACACAGGAGAAGGGGCTGAATACATTTCATGATATGTAAGAATGGACAAAGATTTTAAAGTCAGGATTTCTTTTATTATATGATTTCAAATGTATATGTGTAATTGTATTTTAAAACAGTTGACTGTTTTATAACTATCTGTAACATTTTATTTATTTAAGTTGGCAAAAATAGTATTTAGAACTTCTCACTAAGAAAATGGAGATTACCTTATAGGATGGTCCTATATTCTGATAACTACCTTATGTTAGTAAATAATATTAATCTTGGGCCATCTTTGGTTTGGGGGCTAAATCCAACTTGATGGTGGGTATATACTTTTATTATCCTTCTCAGTTCAGTTTGGTAAGATTTTATTTAGGATTTTTGCATCAGTTTGGAAATGAGAGTGGGGTTAGTGGTTTCTTTTTTCTGTCAGGTTTCGTTGCTTTGGTTATACTCATATCATAAAATAATTTGGTTGGTTTTTCCATCTTTTTTCTATGCTCTAGAACAGTTTGCAGAATGTTTCAAAGATCTCTGTGGCAGAGCTGGTCCCTGGAACCTTTTTCTGGAGGCATTTAAAAAAAATTACCTCCATAGTTTAAATTTTTTGCTGAATTGTGTCTAGGTGTGAGGCTTTAAAAATGTTTTACATTAATTTTGTCTGAAATTTAGTGAGCCCTCTGAACTGCTTGCGGAGATCATGATTCGCTCCAGGGCTTTTTCCTTGCACACATTTTAGCTTACTGCTTTTGTTTTGCTTGATTTATATTCCAAAAATATCTTTAATTAAAAGGTTGAATCACTGATTAAGCTTTTTTCCCATCCTTTTCAGCTTTTATTCCTTTTTCTTGGCTTTCTCGAGCTCCTCCACACTATGAATCAGGCATTTTTGCAGTTTTAATTCTGCTCGTTAGGACCTGCAGTATAGCCCATCGTATCGTATTTACTGTACAATAAATATTGATTGCATTTGGGGGGTTTTGAAGCCCTTTCTTGGCCTCCACCAACTCTCTTTTCCTCTAAGCTTGTTGATACAATAATGACCACTGTTTATTAAATACTGACTGCTTGTCCAGGCCCTGTGCTGGTGCTTTTCCTCTTCTTCCTCTTTATCCCTCACGTTGTCTGCTTTAAAGCTCAGAATAATCTGTGAGACAGGTTTCTTGATCCCCATTTACCCACGAAAAAATCCAAACTTCTTTAACCGCTTAAAGAAGTTAAGTCATTTGCCCAAAGCTGCATATCTGACAAACGACAGAGCCAGAATTCAAACCCAGATCTACTTGCGGTCAGGACCTAATTGCTCACATCTGACAAATGACAGAGCCAGAATTCAAACCCAGATCTACTTGCGGTCAGGACCTAATTGCTCACATCTGACAAATGACAGAGCCAGAATTCAAACCCAGATCTACTTGCGGTCAGGACCTAATTGCTCTGATCACTTGTTCTCCTGCCCGTTCCTCTTCTTTTCCTTTTACCTCATCCCAATGTCCTTCATTTCTTCTTTTGGCTTTTTACACTTCTGTTCTCAGAACCTACTTTTTCCTGAATCTTTCTGAATACAAAAAACTTTTCTAAAATATTTCAAATGAAATCCTTGGCAGCTGAGTGCGGGTAATGAAGGATCTGCCCACACAGAGTGCGAGGCCATCTCCTGGGCTCGGATCACTGTTTCCTGGTTAATTTTGTCTCCCATCTGCAGCTTGAGGTCAAGCTGAGGTGGCTTTTAGGCATCAAGTGAGCCATCCTCTGTTGAACCTGATTGACCTACTGACAGTGGCTTCCCTTTCAGCTACCTGGTTCTGTGACAGGCTAAAAGAACCCCAATATGAAATTACCAGACAGTCTTGCTTCCATATCTTCTGGGCTTTAGTTTTGGGGACATTACTCAGAAAAGAGTGTGCCTACTGCCAGACCCTTCTCTTCTCCTGCCCTCTGTATTCTGGGGCCCAGATCTCTAACTGCATATATAAGTTAAGGAGATAGTAATTTTCTAGACATGTCAAAAATTATCACCATCCACCATCCTGCTGTTTTCCTGCCTCCGTTAAGGCAGGTGGTCACTCTGTGTCAGGAGGCAAAGCTGGGCAGGCCAGTC